CGCTGGTCCCTTAGGTTTTAGGGTTCCTTCAGGCCTTTGGCTCCGTCAGTGGACTTGAACATTTAGTACTGCATGTCAGTGGGAACGTTTCCGCACGTAGAATTTTTTTTTTTCATCTTAAGTCAGTCCTAGCTGAGCCCTCACACGACCTGTATTTTTGTTAAGAAGGGTACAAAAAGAAGAGTATAATCTTTAACATTCTGCTCTAATTCTGGGCCTATATGATCTTATCACGCAGAACCTCAGAAGCCCTGCTTTTCACCTGCCCACCACCCGCCCTGTTGATGGGCGCCAGCTTTGATATTTGAGCCCTTGACCCTTCTGTTAACAGGGCTTTGGGGACAGCGGTATCTTACTAATGTGAAGATGGGAGGAAGAAGGCAGCGTCTTAAGATTGCACAATGATAGACAATGGCACTGGTGGGACCACAGGACTAATTTTCCAGCCTCCGCATGTCACGCTTTGGGGAGTGGGTGATCTGCTCAAAGTCACAGCCAGAACGAATCAGAGCCACAGGTCCACGTGCTCGCCTTCCTCCGTCACAGTGGCGAGGTAGAAGGAACATCATGCCGCCAGGCCTTGCGGTGGAAAAGAGCCTGGGGTCCTGAGACGCCAGCCACAGCCAGTGCCCAGCAGAGTGGCTGGGGGACACTGGGGCATGGGATGAGTTTAGAGAGGCGGCAGGAGCCAGACAGTCCAGGCTGGACTTGGCTGGACGCACATTTTTAGCCCAAGCGCAGCGGGAAGCCAGCAGGGCGTAGACAAGAGGGTGACATCGACACTGTGTGCTAAGGAGACCTAGGTGGACCTCGAAGGCGTTTGGGTGAAGTCCTTTGGCTTTTTTCACGCATTCATTTATTTCACAAACATTACTGTGCGCCGGCAATGACAAGCAAGAGTCAAAAAGAAGCCTGTACTTTCCTGGCACTTGTGTTCTGATATAAATCTGACAACATTTTTAGGCGGAACTCATGATTTTGGCAATTTCCCAAATTTAGGAATACTTCCTGGGGAAGATAATACTGTGGACTGTTCAGATTTTATTTTCTCTCCAGTTTACTCTGTTCCAGAGGGGCCGCCTAAGTACTTGGGTGTTTCTGAGTCTCTCTAGCATCTTTCATTCTGAACACTTAGGAAATTGAGGACCTGAATAAATTATATATCTTCTACATTTCACAAAATATATAGAGTATTATGTACTTCACTGCGTTCTAAGCCCTTTATAAATATTGACATTTAATTTTCATCACAGGTCTGTGTAGTAGGTGGTAGTATTATCGCTGTTTTACAAATGAGGCAACTGAATGGCTTGTCCCAGGAACCCCATTGGCGAAAAGTGGCGGTCAGGCTCATAGACACCGCGCTGCATTTTCTGATATATATCATTAAAAAAAGGTATTTTTTTAAAATCATAAAGCGTTTTCCCCTCTTGTATTGGGGACTTCTTTGGACGCTTAGGGTTATTTGTGGCCGGGTTTAGAGGCAGCGGGGGAGTCTGGGCCCTCTCTTTCTCGGACTCCCATTCTGTGGAGCCCTGTTTGTCCTTCATGATTCTTTTCACACTGAGTTCTCTGTTTAACCTAATTTGCGGAAACGGAAAGTGTTTAATTATTTCACTTTATTTAGTGATGTCTTTCAGTCCTGCCAGGCTTTCTATACGTTCCCCTTACAGACAGCAAAGAACTGGCACATAGTCACGTTTAACCAATAGGTAGAAGTGTATGGCTTATTGCAAATGCTAAAACCAGTTTACTTGAAATTGGGGATTTTGTTTCCCTCCTTTGTGAGACTGCATAATAGTTTGATTTAGCTATTTATAAATGTTTAATTGTATTTTAAACAATAGGATAAGTGGACAATAGGCCCTAATGTATTGGAGTAATAAAACTGGAAGCACACTATTTAAAACCTAGCATATTCATACATGTATCCCTTGAGGGGGAAGTCTTTAGACCACGCTGGATTCTGTTTTTAGGTTGGTAGCAATAGGGTGTTTTGCTTGGTAATTCTCCTACATCTTGGGAGTCTTTTGATTAGCTGAGATTAGATCATTTATATTCCCTCAGAATCCTCACGGAGATTCTGGCCCCCTTTTTGGGGAAGTGCTCTGTATTCTTCAGTTCTCAGTCTCTGATCATTTTGCACCCTTCTTTCCATCTGGAATTGTCATCACACCTCCCATCTCAACCTTCTCTGTGTCTAAAATAGTTTCTTAATTTTCTAAAGACACTTCTGAAATCCTGCTTCTTCAGTAAACTTTCTGTAGTTAGTTAAAAGAGAAATCTGGCCTCATCTTTATTTTGTATTTTATTATTGAGGGATGAAGTTTAATGAACTTCCATTGCACATGGTTTTTTTTGCTTTAATTTTAATGGACTAATTTATTCTATATATGAAAAACAGTATGAGTCTCAGTTTTATGCTTATTTTTTGAGCAATGAACTTGTTTGGCATAACAAACATGAATTCCAGTTCAATTGGACATTGGGCCTCATTTGTTTCACATAGGAGAGAGTTTATCACGTGTGGATGAATATGAAATAACACGTCATTAGGTTTATGTTGGTTTGCTAGGGCTGCTAGAACAAAGCCCCACAGACTGGGTGGGTGAAACAACAGAAACTTATTTTCTTGTAGTTCTGGAGGCCTGAAGTCCGAGATCATAGCGTCGGCAGGGTTGGCTTCTTCCGAGGCCTTGCTCCTTGGCTTGCAGACGGCCGTCTTCTCCCTGTGTCCTACATGGTCTTCACTCTGTGTGCCTTCTCTTCTTATAAGGATATCAGTCATATTGGATTTGAGTCCATCTAGGTGACTTCTTTTTAACTTGATCGCCTCTTTAAAGATGCTATCTCCAAAAAGTCACGTTATGAGCCACTAGGAGTCAGGACTTCAACATACAGATCTTGGGGAGACACAATTCAGCCATAACAATAGGTAAAGGTAGAGTACATCCTGAAGGAGAGGGGAGTATAGGATGTTTGTTGTAATCCAGCTTAAAGCTGGCTAAGCAATTCAGGGTAAAATTCACACTAATTAGTCTTTTGTCCATACTTTCCCAATTTTTTGGACTGAGTGAGATCTGAAGTACCTTGTAAGTACTTCTGAGATTCTGTGATTCCTGCTTCTTATTTAGGAAGATCATGGTAGAGGTGTTTTTACAATGCTGTGTTTGCTGGGTAGAATGCAGAAGGACAGGGCTTCTGTCAAATACGCCTTGATTTGAATTCGATTTCTTTTCTTCTGTCTGAAGCTGAAGAAAATGACCATAACAGTCCTTCTCTTGGCATCTTACAAGCTCCGTGACTGTGGACAGGTTATGTAGCATCTACGAGCCCTAATTTAGCCATCTCTGTAGTGGGCATAGAGTTGCTAGGAGGCTCTCCTTGGCTCTAGTCTGCTGCCTGCTACAGATGGATGTTATCCCTCTGCAGATGCGCTTGGTGGCCGCAGGGACTGAGATCCAGCCCCTGCAGCCCAGGTGGGGCATCACTGCTGACTTGTGTTGCCTCCCAACCTGCTTGACTCATGTATCTTGGTGACCATTTGTGGCTCAATGTGGTCAAAGTGGAGCTAGTGTTATTCAATGTTCCAACCTCGCTTGCTATGTGATAGAGCCCACCTACCATGTAGATGTTATTTCAGGGGAGATAGATAGTTTGGGTCCAGTTCATCTGGTTACTGTAAAATGAATTGTTTCTTACTTCTTCTTTCCATATTTAATAGCACCAAATAGTTATCAGGAAATTGTTCCTCTTCCTAAATCTTATCAGGAGGCAAATGGGGAAAGTTTGTGGGGCAGAGATGTCATTTAGCCTACCACATCAGATTTTAAGATCCATGAACTTCAGTACTGCCAGAAGTAAGTGCTAGACTTTGGTCTATTTTTCCTAATCCAGAGAGTACCTACAGAGCAGAGCATTTGTAAGGGGTAAATGAAGTGTGTGTGTGTGTGTGTGTGTGTTTGAGGCAGGGAGGGGCCAGCGGTATGCCTTCCACCTACGTTGTTCTAGCTAAAATGAGTTTTTATGCTTTGTGTTGGGATTGAGTTTATACAAATCTGGTCATTTAAAACACTAGATAGCTTTGTTATTAGACTTCAGTAGTTCAATTGACTCAGGTAAAAATTTTTTTTCAGAAAAACCATTGAAACAAGTTGACCAGAGAGTTCTCTGTCCAGGAATAAAGATTCCCAAGTTCTATTTGGCCAACCTATTTTAATCATTATATAAGAAGATTAGAATACAACCCTGCTGGTAGTAGTATTGGACCTGGAAAGTTCCCATAAGCTCACCCATTTCACCGTGCCTTTCTCTGGTACCACTGCTGGTACTTTTCCTTTGGATTCTGTATTCAGAGTTTTTCCATAGCAAGGGACAGGCATGCAGGATATTACTGGGGCATTTTTTTTCTATCTCCCACATAGATTTATTTCCAGAGAACTGATCAGAAAAATGACCGCCAGCATCCCCAAGGTTGTATCTTCATGACTTCCATTCGGAGATGAAGAAAGAGCCTCTGTCTTCTATGTCCATATATCAAATATCAAGAAAGCTTTTAATTGGTTCCACTTGAGTCACATGGTCATCCCAGAAACCTAAAGCTGATTGGTTGATGAAATATTGTGGCAGAGCTTCTTGATTGGCAGGCCCGCTAGAATCACGTGGTCTGGGAGAGGGATGGAGTCCTGCAGGAAGAGTTGCTTAGCAAACAGTCACTGTGCTCATACAGATAACTGGCACTTCAAGTCATTAGGCGTTTAGTGTTTATTCTTTTAGTGGAAAGGGAATGGGAGGGTAATGACTGTAAAACGTAACTGGATCCACTTGGGCATTTTAAGCTGCATATTTCAAATCTGTCTGCAATGAGAAGATGAGGACACACTTGAAAGGTGACCATTAGGTGGGATACAGGTTATAAAGACGATCAGATAGTGGAGCATAACGGGTGATTGCTTAAAGGAACGAAATGACATTAACAGCCCCTTCTGTTTCTATGCCAGGGTTGGATGATTGCCTGCAGCAGTACGTCCACAAGTTTGAGCGGGAGAAGATCAATGGTGAGCAGCTGCTGCGGATCGCCCACCAGGACCTGGAGGAGCTGGGCATCACGCGCATCGGGCACCAGGAGCTCGTGCTGGAGGCTGTCGACCTTCTCTGCGCACTGGTTAGTTCTGCAGAAGACGATCTGTACCGTGATGATGTTCTTTAGAAGATTGTTCTCTTAAATCTTCCTTGTTTGTATTGAGCATATCATTACTTTCTTTATGATTCACTGACGTGAACTGAAGGTAATGTAAGAAGCGAAGAAAAGCTGTACTTTTCCAGATGAAGAGTTGGCAAACTGTAGCCTGTCAGTTAAATGTGGTCCACTCGCTATCTTCGTAAATAAAGCTTTATTGGGACTCAGCCAGCACCACTCATTTATGTGTGGTCTGTGCCTGCTTTTATGCCACAGTGGCAGAGTTATATGTAACGGGGACCACGGGGCGCCCTGAAGCCTAAAATGCTCTCTTGCCCTTTACAGGAAGAGCACGTCTTTTATGGAAAAACTCTGCATTAGTATTATTTTTAAAATCCTTTTTAAAGAATAAAAAGATGGAGATGGTCCTGAATGAAAATGCCTTCTAAATTGCAATGACAAGTGGGTTCTGATTTCCCTGTTTGTTTTTTTTTACCATAAAAAGCATTTTTATGCGTCACAGGTATTTGTGACATTTCAATAACTGATGCCTGTGCTTGAAATAGTCAACCTATGAAATGGTAGCCAAATGGGAAGAGTGTGGACTTAGTTCCATTTTGCAGGTGACAGAGCTTTGGCTTGGCCGTGACTGAGTTCTGAGTCTTGCATAGCACCTGTGGCTGTGGGGGTGGTTCTGAGGCATGGGCTTAAAAACACCTGGAAGGGCATGGTGTTTATACACTGGTTGGCATAGGGTGGGATCCACGACTGTCTGCCGTGGTGCCACACTAAGGATGCAGTTTCCTGAACTGTCAGGATTTGGACAGACTGGGCAGCATTCAAGCTGGGTTAGTAATGCCATGAACCTGAGCCAGGGGTATATACAATTACATCACAGAGAATGGTGGGAAAGAATGTGCTCCCGACTATTTTGCCATTGCAGGTCTGCGTTCCGTTGATTATATAACACTTGCAGCATTGTGCGTATTCTTTTGCTTAAAATGGACAGAGCCTTGTCTTCGGCTCCGAGATGCGCCACTCTTGTTGAGGAAAGTAATGGGGAAGTTATTTGTGGTTGATAAATGAGCTGCCCCGAGGGAGACGCCGTGGCCAAGTGGTGTGAGTGGTGGCCCGGGAGGCAGGCTTTCTGCATTCTGATCCTGGCCCTGCGACACGCTCCTCGCTCTGCGGCCTCCAGGGCAACGGCAGTGTCTGCTTTCCCCATCTGTACAGTATCGCTCTCCTGGATGTGGCCGTGTACCAGCGTGGGTTTTGCACTGCCCAGAAGATATCTAAGAGTCCTGTTTATTATTAAAACTGCATTTTTTTAATACAGTGAAACATGTTTGAGTTCCCTTTTATTATGTTTTCTGGGAACAACGCTTTTCACTCTTTACTGCCCTTGTGTGTCATCTCTTAACTTTGTGGGGGGACCCTGAGGACAGGTAAACCACTTTGAAACCTACAGCATGAGCGGGAAGGAGGAAGGGGGGCTGGAGGCACCTTGTGTACAGCAAGTGCGATAATAAACGTAACAGCTGCCTCTCTTTGCTTTTCCCCCTTCCCTACCTCTTAAACCATTAGACTAAAATGAACAAAGCTGGGTGAGCGCCAGAACCTAAAGCTGCACTTTATCTCCTACAATTTCCTTCTCATTTCCTTTGTAGACAAAGTTCTGACCTCAGACTCATTCTGGACATGCTTGGCGTGCAGAGTGCCAGTTGAATACCTCTGACAGGAGGGTCACCCGAGGGTTGCAAATGAATGTGCCTTTTCTGGGTTGGGGAGAGTTTTTAGAGAGTTTGACTTTTAGTTTTGAAATTATCTCTTTCTTAAATATTCTTATGCTAATAAAAATTAATATTAATTATACTACCTACTTAACCCATTTACACCAGACTGATCTCTGTATCTCTAAGTTGGTGATAATTTTTTGCCCTGAAGAACCTGTCCCTTGGGCAGTTAGTTACTGTGTACTTGCATTTGGCCCTGGTGCCATAGAAGGGGTTTTTATGTAAACACAGTTTAGCGGATGTTGATGTTATGATGGGCAGGAAATGAATAGAATTAGAAGTAAGGAAGGGGGTGGGAAGGAAAAAACAAAATGATCGGAAAGTTTTGGAAAGAAAATCGCAGGTAGAATGGATAGGAATCTAAAATAGGGAACAGCTACTGGTTAAGATTCCAAAACCAGTGAGTAGAGACCACAAATAGCTTAGTCAAGGGGAGAGAGCTGGGAGAGCAACCCCCCTTTGTGAATGTTGACCTTGACTGGCTGGAGAAGTTTAGGGCGAGTCTTTGACTATGATGCAGAACCAGGACCACTTCCCAGGATTGAGTTCAGAGTCCGAGCACAGTTTTCTCCTTCTATCTTTGGGGCAGACTCGAGCTGCTCTTTCTGGTAGGATAGTTGTTAGCCACATGTGACTATTTCAATGAAAATTAATTAAAATAAAATAAAATTTAGTTCCATGTTGCAAGTGCTCAATAGCTACTGTGGCTACTGGCGACCATGTTTGGTCAGTGCAGACAGAGAACATTTTCATCACTGCAGAAAGTTCTGTGGAATAGCATTGGTCTGGAGGGTGTGGTTCAAAGTAATAATGTATAATCGTAACCTATTTTCTTTGCCAAATCAAACAGACCCTCGTTATCTGAAGGCCAAGGGAGGGACAGATGTATTTTTTTGAGGTTGTTGTAGGCTGAGAAAGTGAACAAAGTTGGAATTCGTACACGTGCTAAGAGATGTCACATGTGTGTGATTAAATGAAATACATGAAATGTATCTACCTGCCCAGGGCACTTCTGCATACTCCGTACCCCTAAGTTGACTCATTGTTCATCATTTACCCATAGGGCAAACCTCTGAAAAATGTTACTTTTTTATGGGGAGAAGTTATGCAGGTGGAGTAATCCTTGCTGGCAATTGGTATTTCACTAGATCTTGCTTATGAGCTTATTAAATGCCTTTAGGAAAACTGTGAAGTATATTTCTCAAGCTGTAACTCAATTGACCCAAGTCAATGAGATGGTTGGATTGTGTGTCTCTGATGCTCCTTAATCACAAATGTTAGATCATGAACAGAGCAAGGAGGAATGGGGAAAGAAGGTAGAAGTTGCATAAGATCTCCCTTCACTAATATGTGTGCCAGCAGGCACCAGAAGAGTCAGAATCGGCCTGTTTTCTTGTCTCCTGTCTCATGTGTCATTGCTCTACCAGACCAGGAAATGACCTTTGATGGCTAACTTCTAATGGAGTGACATCTCTCTGGAAAGGTTTTAGTATGCCTATAGGCTTTTGGAGGCTCATTTCATTTCTTACCTCCTTTGTAGTTTCTTGATACTTGAAGCAATTTCCGAAGGAGAAAAGTTTGAGGGAAAAGATCATTGAAAATAATCAAATTTGGTCTGAGAAATTATTTATTTTCTGTCTTCGTTATAGGGCACTTAAATCAATCGTCCTTTCCTGATTATGTTTCTACAGTAGAGGTTGTTTTGAGCTCATATAACCAGTTTCTCGTTCTCTTGGTATCATGGAATGGGGTGGTAGGAGAAAATTTCCCTTCCTTTGCTCCTTCCTCTTTCTTTTAAGAATTGTTTTTTAGTATGGCTATATATCCATCAATCCTTCCAGTCCTGGGATTTGTTTTGGGGTAAAAATAAAAAGAATCAGAGCAGATTGAATGGAAATGAAAAGAACCAGTTAATAAGAAGATACGCTCCCCCATTATTTTAATATCTAAAGTGGTAGGTTTGTAGGATATTGAAGTTTAAAACTTCTTGCAACACTAACATACATTTAATCCCTTTTGAGTTCAGGAAGTAAATGTTGTGTATAGTAACGAAAGTTCCAAGTAATTTATGGTGATGTTGCTATATAGAAAGCCCACTTTCCTGCTTTTAGTTTGGAACTCTTGATATGAGTTGGCAGGCTGAGTAATTGACTGAATGAGGGGACAGTTCCCTTCAATCATAGTCACCAGTCCTTCAGGACAAGCTGTGTCATGTGGCTGTGTATCCATTCACTTGTGAGTCTCATTCTCTGAATTGAAAAAGCCATAATGAAAATCCGTCTCTTTATTTTTGTCTTCTCTATTGAAGGACAATGGTATATTTTAGTCTCTAGAAAAGGACAGTGAGAAAAAAAAAGAATGAATGTAAAGTTTAGATAGAACATTTCTGTTAATATAGAGCACTGATTTTTATTATGAAATTTAGTTTATTTTCAAGGTCTGCAAAAGAGTTTTCAGTTAATGGATCTGGAAGTGTTTTTTTCTTTACACATATATTTGTACTTAACTCTTTGCAAAATTTCTATCTAAATTTAATATAAAGTTAAATATCAGATAAAACCTAGTTGAAGTTTTCATTAAGGTAAAGTCTTAAGTTGTTACTACCACAGTTCATCTCTCAAAAAACCAAAACCAAAACCAAAAACAACAACCAAAAAAACCCAACAACACCCCAGTATGTTTCTGCTTTGTGTGTGTTGATTTTGAGATGTGGCTCACCCCTCCGGGGCATTAGGGATCGGGGGTTACACGTGAGGAGGGGCTGAAGGACAGTCTAGGTACCGGGGACGAAAGCATGAAGAAGAGGGCGGTGTGGGTGGCTCCTCTTGGTCAAGGAGTGTGGAGGGGACACACAGGATCGAGATCCAAGGCTTGTGCCTCCGTGTGCATGGCCTGGGTTAGGACCCCCCTGCCGCTCAGTAGGTATGTAACTGGAGAATTTACCGCCTGTCTCCATCCCCAGGTTTTTCACTTGTAAAAGGAGATACTATCATTCCCACCTGCGCAGGCTGTTGGCCTGAGAGAACTCTGGTCCAGCACTTAGCCCAGTTCCTGGCGTCGAGGAAGTGTTTGGTCATCTTGGCCATTGTATTTGTCCCAATTTTTATGCACAAGTTTTACATGGTACTGCATTCTTGCTTTGGGATGCTATTGACCCAGGGTAATAGACCCCAGAAAAGTCTTCACTTTTTGTTAAAATGACTGAACAGATGATAATATAGAAATTCATCTCTTACCTCCTGCCAAAGTCATCTCAGGTTTATGTGTTGTTTCCTGGGATTTGTTTTTTTATCTGAAAGGGAGTCTAGGCAATATTGTCACATGAAATCGATTTTTTAAAAGCATCAAGTAAGTCGGATGTCATTCAGAAGGAACACGGGTTAGAAGCTCCAGAGACGGAAATTACATTTCAGGTGAATTGACGTTTAGTTCGTAGTGTTGTTTCTGTGTGAGAGTCTCAGCTGATGGAAATTCATATATTCAATCAACATTTTATTGTCTGATGGGCCGGAGATAGCGTAGTGAGCAGCGCCTCCAGGGCCCTGTCCTCATAGACCCGGCATCCCAGGGAGGACGACAGCAGCAAATACTGTGATTCAGAGAGATGACAGATAGGTGAGGTGCCAGAGAGTGACCCCAAGGAGGTATCTGGCAATGTCTGGAGACATTTTTGGTTGTCACAGCAGGGGAGAAGGTGCTACTGATATCTAGTGACTATGGGCCAGCTAGACGTTGTGCACTGTACTGGAATCTTCCCCCCACCACCCAAACAGAGGATCAACAGGCTCTCTGTGTCAGGAGGGCCCATGTCGAGAAACTCTGTAGATGGTCCTGGAAGCCTCAAAAAAGAGAGGGGGCATTTGAGCTCATTTGGGTGTGACTGATAAGGAGCTGTCCCTGCCAGGATTGAGCAGAGGAGCATTTTGGAAGGAGGAGCAAGCAAGAACAAAGTCCCTGAGACAAGAGTGGGCCGTGGGAAGGCCCTTGTGGCTGTTGTGGGTGGGATCAGCACCGTGGGTAAATGATAGAGGGTTTTGTGGCCAGCATAGGAGTTACTTGAGTTACTCAATGGGCTTGTGAGTTACTAAGCTAGTTTGGACATTGTTTTACATTTTTCTGTTTGATTTTGTTTTCCACAGAATTATGGCCTTGAAACCGACAACATGAAGAACTTGGTTCTGAAATTGCGAGCGTCTTCCCATAACCTACAGAATTACATAAGTAGCCGTCGGAAAAGTCCCGGTTATGATGGGAACACGTCCCACAAGCCCCACAATGAGTTCTTGACTTCCGTGGTGGAGCTTATAGGTGCTGCCAAGGCCTTGCTATCGTGGCTGGACCGGTGAGTTACGGGTGCGCTTTACTGTCCTGTGAGAGGATGGCCTGAGGTGCACGGAGACCTGGTCTCCGTCTTAGGAAAATGAACCATTGTCCCTTTCTGGCCCCTTCTACTGGACCTCTCTGGCTCTGGATCAGTGGTGGGTTTTCAGGTCCCCTTTGGAAGTTCCTGAAAAGTGACTAGCAGGAACAAAGTAACCTCAGCTTAGAGAAGAGTGAAACTGCTCAAGTTGTGTATTACTGAGGTTAAACATTAATGATTATTTGGTTGCATGAAGGCTGTTAGTTGACTTCTGAATGGACTTCTCTTGGCTCATTTTTAATGTGTGTGTGTGTGTGTGTTTTTAATCTAGCACTTCTCTATTTTCTATTCAGATTCCTGTTATGTGTGTTCCTTGAGGGGGAAGGGTTACATAACAAATAATTTAAGGTGGCTCGTTGCAGAGCTCAGCTTGTCAGCATAGTTTGGGATCCCAGTGGGTTCCCTGCCCGTACCCTCACACTTTTCTGAAGAGGATTTTTGTTGCTTTCCAGGGCCCCATTTACAGGGATCACTGATTTCTCAGTCACGAAGAACAAAATCATTCAGCTTTGCTTGGACCTGACCACTACCGTCCAGAAGGTCAGTACGTCACTGTCGCCTTCTAACCATTTTGCCCTTCCCTTTCCCTTTTTTCTCTTCTTCAAAGGGTTTACATGAAGGTATGAAGTATCATTCTCTTTCTCTCACTTCATTTCCCCCCCATTAGAATTGGGGAAAGATGAAAGCCTGTAGAGGCATTGTATAAATGGGTTCCAAAAAAATAACCAGTGGCCTCTACCGCAAAGATTACCTTCTCTTATTTTAAAATAGTTGAGTTAATTGTCCTGTACTTTCTCTGAAGTGTTAGAGAACTTAATTTTTTTTTTAAATAGAAATTCTGGAGTAACTAAATTTCACTATAATGTTTATTCTTAGTTTTTTTTTCATTTTGACCTCTTGTGGTTGGGTATACCAGTCAGGATGAGTTAGGTTACGATGCAGTAACAAATAACGTCCAACCTCAGCAGTTTATTTCTTGATTACCTACGTCCAAATGGGTCAGCTTGGGCATCTGCTCCAGTTCTCCTCACTTGAGGATGTAGGCTGGCAGGACAACCAGTATCTCATGTTCCTTGTCCCCTGGCAGAGGGACAAAGGACCTTGGAGGATTTCATACTGAGAAATGTTCTGGTTTGGAAATGATACATGCCAATTTCACTCACAGCTCATTGGCCAGACCTGGGGCCAGGCAGATTTATATCTGTCAACCTGTAACTGACTAGTTTCTGTGACCTGAACTTTAAAAAACTTTAATCTTAGGTCATCAGCTCTTAAGATCACTTCTTATCATATTCCCCAGCCTCTCGCAGACACTGTGAAGTATTTCTGAATTGAATTGAGGCTTTAAAATGTAAAGAAGAGGTTGTTCTTTTTCCAGCATCCACTTGTTTCTAAAAGTCTGACTCCACATTTGCTCCCACTGCTGATTTGGCAAGAAGTAAAAAAACGTGCTTTCCTCAGCCCTGCCCGTGCCGCGTAACAGATGCAGTTCTGGAAAGCTGTGTGCTTTCCGTTTGTTCCTAGAACACGGGGAGCGAAGCCCGGCTTTGCTTGGGGCAGCTGTTTGAGGTTCAGTCTTGAGCAGCCATTGAACTGAAGGCGCACGTGACTTCATCGTATGCTTTCGAGGCCATGTTCTTAGAAAGGATCTTGGAGCAGCTATAGCAGCTCTGAGTTTCTGCTCTTTTTAATAATGTATAAGGTAATTTTGACTAAAACAGTCTGATACCACCTGTGATACATTAATCACACAGCCCCAGAATCCTGGCATTTGTGGTGGGACACATTTATTTCTCTGACACCTTGAGCTTTCTGTTTCTTCTCTGCTTCGCTCTCCCCACTATATTCTGCCTCATGTTTTGATTTTTTAAAGAATTTTCTGGTGATCAATTAAAATGACAGTGTAAGAGTTAACGCTAAACATTATAATTAGCAAATGGGAAAGTTTTGCTCATGGATACGTCAACTGATGGTCACTGACACCAAATCGATGCCCAACAAGAATCCCCAGTTTGGGGTGCAGGGAAGAGAGAGACTGTATTTGGTGCAGAACAGCTCACTTGTGATACTGCGTGACTGTGAGGCAGCCCTAGGGCCAGGGCCTTCTCCGGCCAAGCAGCTCTGCCCCTCTCCTCGCATGCCTGCTCCACTCTGCCCCGGTCGGCCTCGTTCCGTGCCAGCCTGTTCTGGCCTGCGCTGGTCTGCTCCCCTCTGCTCCAGAGAAACATTTTCCATGTTCCAGTTCAGCCAGGGAAATGCAGTCTTCAGAGTTCAGTGGAAAAGGAAAGTGGGCTTTCCTGAGTCCCTGATCTCTGACTGGTCTGTCCTCCTGCAAATAACGACTACAAATCCTTGCAGTTTGATTGGTTCAAAAGGCACGAACAGAACAGTGCCACTCTGGTTGGTCAGGGTTGCGCAGCTCTGATTGGATGGAGGAAGAAGCCTCAGTCCTGTTGGTGGAAAGAGGGTTCCAGAAACTAGTTTGTAGGGCTGGCTCAGAGGGCAGAAACCCAGAGCAGCCAGGCAGTTTAGTCCAGAGGCGGGTAGTTCAGTGCAGGCTTCTCCCTGAAGGGCAGTTTGCGTGAGAGGCCCTTGTGTAGAAATGGCTGCCTGGCTTTGATCTTTTAAAATTTCAGTCCCGTTAGCCACTGGAGCCCCTTTTAGGAGGTATCTTCTTTCTCAGGGTTCACAGGGGCCTCTGTGTTTTATTTAAAGGCTGATTGATTCGGGCTGCCCTCGCTGTAATGTAGGGAGAGGAGGAGAGGGTGCTGAAGCGAAGGCTGAGGTGGTGTTTGCTTTCAGAAGATGAATCTGCTTTGCCTAAGCAGGTTGATATTGGCTTTGTAGGTATTTGGGCTAATCCTTCCATAAATATTTATTCAACACTTTCTATGTGTCTGCCACCCTTCCAGGCAGTAGGGATATCAGTGAATAAACAGATAAAAAAAGTCCTTGACCTCATGGAACTTACAGTCTCTGGGGGAAAGAGGAAACGAAAAGATTAAGTAAGCAAAATATATATCAAGTTAGACGAAGCTAGAGAAGTTCTAAAGAGGGAAGGTACGGGAAGTATGGAGAGTGGGATCCAGTTTTAGATACGTGGCTAGAGTAACCATTATCGCCAAGGAGACACTTGGGCAATCCAGTCGGTGTGACTGCTTGTCTGGATGGAATGGGCTTACCACGTTGTCTCGGGTGGTTTCTTCATAGCCGTAGTGGTGGTTGCTCTGGATGATGACGAAAAAGTCTCCCCGTGGAGGCTGAGGCCTGGACCCCGTCACGTCAGGAGAAGGGTGCCCACAGAGCCTCCTCTGCAGGCTTGCCCCTGCTCATTGGGGCCTCACAGTGCCTGGCACGCGATTAATGATGATTTTTAAATGTATGTTTAAATGAATGAGATAACACATGACAAATAAGCTGATGAGAATTTTACTCTCAGGAGAACTTTAACCCAAATTTAAGAGATACAAGAGGTAATTGTTTTTATTTGTTTGTAGTTTATTTTGTTCATTTTGTTTTTCCTTTGGTGTTCAGGGAACGTACAGTTCAGGGACAGATAGGTTCAAATCCTGTCTCCACCTTGATTAGCCCTGGGATCTTGGCCAATGCACTGAAAACGTATGAGTCTTAATGTTTTCATCTGCAAAGTGTAAATGCTAACATTTACCTTACCAGATGATTCGGTAGGATTTCTACAAGGTATTGTTGAGGAAGACAAAGGGGAAAAAGTGTAGTAGGAGGACAAATTGTGACCAAAAAACTTTTTTAGTGTATGTATGTATGTATTTGGAATATATACATGCATCCAAAAAAACTGTACACAAATGAATATATAAGCACAGTTGGCAGTTTGGAAGAAAAATTGAGTTTATCTTAGTGGGGAGAGAATTAAAGAGGAAACATGGGAGCCAAGCCAAAAAAAAAAGAAGAAAAGAAAAAATTTTTTTACAGAAAGCATGTTTATCACACTTATTCATGTAAAATTAAAATTAGGGAAATGATATATAAACTTTGATATCTAAAGATCATGAGGACGATTAAATGATATATAGCATATGTAAAGCACCGTGCCCACTTAAGAAATAGTAGCCTATCATAGCAAATATAAAAATCTTGCCTTGTACTGCGTTTCTGGAACCAAATTTGATGTTTAAAGGAGAGGAAGTTAACAAATATGTTTCCATTATAATCTAGTATGTTTTGGTCTATTTAAATTTAAGCAATTTTTAAGGATTAAGGAATACTATTTCGTAAACGTAGATTGAAAAAGCATGATTAGCTCTTGATGACCATGTATTTTCTATAGTAGCTGGAGAACACATGCTTTGGCAAGTGGTAATATTTATTCATGCACATGTGCATTAGAAATGACAATTCGTACTAAATAGTTGAATGTCTGTTTCAATGGCAGTTTAATGGCAGCAGCAGATTGGACTCGATCTCACCTTCTCATACAACTAGGTGAAGCAGAGTTTTTTAACCTTTCGGCAGAAGGTGTGTTGACTCTTTTGGAAGAGACCTGTCTTTTCCACTCATTCCTTTAACCTGTGGAATCGAAGGAAGAAAAGTTGCATCTTTATTCCAGTGACAAGGAACTTGTTCTCCTGGAGTCTATTCTTTGTGCCTCTATTTGTGAAGACAGGCATTTGCTTGTCCCCTTTCTTCTTTCTCTCTTCTCTGTGTGGCCCTTTCCCCCTCCTCTTCCTGGTCCCTTTCCCCCTTATGATAATGTGTAAGTCCTGATTTGAAGGAAGGTTCTAAAGTTCTGTGGTTGTACATTGATAAGGAATCTGCACACTGCTTTTAAGTGTTCATCAGCTACAGTCCTACACCCGGTCCAACACGGACAGATCTTCCATTCAGTTTTCAGGCTGTGGTTTCCAACGAAGGAAACGGAGGTAGGAGGGGATTGTGGTCGATACCATCAATCCATCCTCCCCAAGGGGCGGTGACATGAACACTGGAATCACAATGGCGAGAGGTGAAATGACAGGCAGGTGCTGACTTCCAGTGTGGAAAGGAACGAGAAATGTAACGCCCAAGAAAGCAGAGTGGGGACAAAGGTAGCCGTGAAAGCAGGCAAGGAGAGAGGCTCGGGGCCATTTGTTGAGTGCTGATTGTGAATCAGTTGTGTGCTGCATGCTTGACCTGTGGTCATCACAGGTAACTCTCAGCAGCTCTCTGAGGTAGGTCCTGTCATCCCTGATTTACAAAGAAGGGAGCAGACAAGGGGACGTTGAAGGCAGAATAGGGAAGAAGGCGGAGGGAAGGGGCACCTGATGGCTGCCCAGGCTGGGTCTCTGCCAGGCAGGCTGGCCTGAGTCTGCTGATCCAGGTGACCAAGGAGTGGGACAGAGCTCAGCCCCCTTGTCTGGCTCCTGAGGAGGTAACTTGCTTCCAATACTCCTTTTTTCCATTCCACGGCCTTCACGCCAAACAACGTGAAGTCACCCTGCAGCTGTTTCCTCCCAGGAGGGACGGGTGTGGGAACCCCCCAGGCATAATGGTGGAAGGTAAAAAGTGAGCCTTTTCACACGCTGACTTGAATCATTCAGGGAGGCAGAAGAGTTTCTTTCGCCCGATGGCCCTATCAGAGGGAAAGCTTCTTGGATCTGTCAAAGAATCAAGTACCAGGAACCGTGAGGTCACACATCCACCCTGAGCCTCGGGCCCCGGGGCGTGGAGGGGAGCGCTCGGCCTGTGGGCAGCTATGTCACGAGGATGTCAGCGCTCATAGCATTTTGGGGTTTGTACTGAAAGATCATAAACGCGAATTGTTAGTTCCATTTCTAGCATAAGACCAGACCACATGAGGGTTCTGTTTTCCTGCAGGTGACATTTATTTAATAAATCTGCCCCTCAGGTGGTGGCGGCAGGGGGTTGAACCACCACAGTAGTTGATAGTTGTGTGCCCCACACAGATTGGAGGAGGAAAAACACATTTTTGAGCTCTAATTACTCAGGTTTTACAGATGTTGTTCTGGTAGTTAGAATTTTTATCAGACTCACGCGTGTAAAAATACACTTCTAAATTTCTTTTTCTAAGCTTTTTCTCACTCGGCTGCTCTTTTCCTGAGAGCTGGTGTAAATGTTGGGAGCAGTGAGAAGCTATTACTGTTTTGCACATTTTTACTGAGCAGAGAAAATTTTAAAAAATTTCAAGAAGACACTGAAAATCTGATCATAAAATCGCATAGGATAGAAATTGGTCGCTCTTTCCATCCCCACTACCACGTGACCTCAAATGACTTTTTGATGGAAGGGAAACTCTGACAGTTCCAGCAGAGTTGATCAATAACTTTCATGTACATAAAATAATCAACATTTCAATAGACTGTCCCAGTTTGGGACTATACTTAACGGTGCTGAATAAACGCTGAAGAATGTAGTTGGTCTCCCTTGTCTTCTGCGTGCTCCCTGCCTCCCGATTAGAATCCTCTGCTGCAGGCAAGTTCTAGAAACTGAGAATCGCACACCGGCAGTTTCACTTCGGCCCCTTCTGGCTAGGACAGTGGTGATTCCTATAATCAGCTCACCAGGTTCATACAGTTTCAAGTCTTTTGTTCCTAAGCTGAGTAAATAATGCTTTGCGTTCCAGCCCTCTATTTAAAGTCATTAATAGCATGCCTCAAGACCGTGTTTTTGGCACGGTGTTAAAATGAATGTTTTGTTGAATCTTTTTCATCTTTTAAGGAAAGAAATATCTGATTTAATCTCAGTGGTGCTTAAAATAAACTTTTGTGGCTGAGCCCTTATTTGAAAGCTATTCTTAGAGGCAGGCCCAGGGCTAAAGATGCCTGGCTGGTTGGCCCAGTGGTAGCTGAGCCCTGGGTCACATCATTAGGTTTGGGGACTATGACTTATGGCTTCCTACTCTCTGCACGGTTTGGGCAGTTGGTCGATTTCAGCTCAGTGATTGTAGGTTTTCAGGTTAATAATTGGTCAGATGGGTTCCTGGGATGATAAGCTCCTTGGGCCAGGATTGAGCAGAGCCTAAGAGGGGTTAAGTGGCCATTCCATCCGCACTTGGCCCTTTCTCTCCGTCCAGGTCTCTCCTCTGTCCACCCGTCCAAGGTGGTCCAGGCTGCAGGGTGGGTGGCATGCCAGGCACCACTGGCTCTAGGAAATATCTAGAATGCTTAAACCAACAGTTTTAGAAAGTTTTTAGTTTTTAATATTTAGTTTTCATTTTTCTTCTTTCCTTCTTTAGGATTGTCTTGTAGCAGAAATGGAGGATAAAGTTCTAACCATAGTAAGTATATGTTCTCAAAGTTATTGCAAAATTCCTTTTCCCAAAGCAGTGAGAATAACTTTAATTAAAGTAAATACACTGTGGTCAATTACTTCAGGATAGACTTCGGATTATTGGCTTTGGGATATGGGTCTATTAATTTAGATGGAAAGAGGAGAATAAAAGTTATTTAACAAGAAGACCAACTACTGTGAAAATTCCTCTGCTGAATTTGGATATATTGGGGTCTCTCTTTTGCTTTTTTTTTTTTTTCTATAAACATTTCATCAGTGTGCAGTTATACTTAAATTGATACCTAACCTGTTAATTTGGGTTCTACTGATCTGCAGATTTTGCCTTAAGGCCATTTTGGTTAAAAAAATATTCTTGGCAAAAACTTTATGATGGAGGAGGAGGTACTGTGACCGTTTAACAGCATTTTGTAACTATTCATCATCACTTCCTCCTTTTGACACAAGCCAGCCTGTGCTCTTTTGATAAGGCCTTCCTCCTACTGATGTTGAGGAATTTAGCAATGAAACTGCTATAAATATATTTTCCATAAATAGGGAGGCTAAACAAATTGGAGGAATTTAAAAAGTGTTACTTGTTGGATTCTCCCCCTTGGAAAGAAATTTACCCTTTGGAATTTCCTGATTTTTTTGGTTGTTTAATTTTGAAAGGTTATAGGGATCTGATTGCGGGAAGTAACCGCACGTAACCACTGTGATTTCCACATGGACACCATGTAATAGGGACCCTCATGTTGTCTGTAAAATTTTACTTTGTCATGGCTTGGCATTCAAAGAATGCAAGCGTCAGATCATCATCAAAAAGATCGTGGATCTGAATTCAAAACATAAAACTATAAAACTCCTAGGAAAAAACAAACGAACAGGAGATATTCTAGGTGATCTTAGGTTTGACAATGAGTTTTTAGATACAATACCAAAAGCATGAACCATGAAAGAAAAACTGCTAGGGAGACTTTATTAAAATTTAAAACTCTGCTCTATGAAATGCAGTGTTAAAAGAAGAAAAAGATAAGTCCCAGATTAGGAAAAATACTTAAAAAAAACACACATCAGATCAAGGACTTGTATCCAAAATATGCAAAGAACCCTTAAAACTCAATAATAAGAAAACAAACAGTACAATTAAAAAGTGAGCAAAAGATCTGAACAGACATCTTGCCAAAAAAGATACACAGCTGGCAAATACGTATCTGAAAAGATGTTCAACATCATGTTTCATTAGGGATTCTAAATTAAAACAACCCCACCGTATGCTTAGTAGAATAATTAAAAAGCAAAACATGACAACACTGAATGCTGCGTAAATGTGGATGAATGTGGAGCAACAGGAACTCTCACTGCTGGTGGGAGCGCAAAACAATACAGCCACTTTGGAAGACAGAGTGGCAATCTCTTAAAAACTAAACATACTATTACCCTATCAGTGAGCAGTTGCAATCCTAGGTATTTACCCAAATGAATTAAAAACTGATATTTACAAAAACTTGCACAGAATGTTATAGCAGCTTTATTCATAATTGCCCACATTTGGAAGCATCCAAGATGTCCTGCAGTAGGTGAATGGATAAACAAACCGTGATACATTCAGACAATTTATAGCTGAATGTTATTCGTCAATGAAAAGAAATGAGCTCCCAAGCCATGAAAAGATATGAAGAAATCTTAAGTGCCTATTACTAAACGAAAGAAGCCAATTTGTGCAGGCTACATATTGTATAATTATAACTATTTGATATTCTGGAAATGGCAAAAATTGTAGAGACTAAAAATCGGTGATTGACCGGGATTCACTGCAGGGCTGGGAGAGGGGGCGGGAGATGACGAAGTGGAGCACAGGGAATATTTAGGGCAGTGCTATTATTATGTATGACATTGTGATGGCAGATACATGACCTTATGCATTTGTCAAAATACATAGAACTGTACAAGAGAGAACCCTAATGTCAACTCTGGACTTTCGTTAATAATAATCTCTCAATATCGGTTAATCACCTGTAACAAATATAGTACGCTAATGCAAAATGTTAATAATATCTTATTATCACTAACTATATTATAACTATTGGGAATTGGGTGGGAAAGAAAGTATTTGGGAACTCTGCACTTTCTGTTCTATTTTCCTGTAAACCTAAAACTGCTTTAAAAAACAAAATTTCTTGAAATTAAACAGGTGCATGTAAAAGTTTTTAATCTGGTCAATATCTGGTATGCAGAGAATGGGAATAATCACTAAAAAAATACAGGTGGTTGGGAATTGAGTCTCCTTAACTGCTAAAAGGGGGTTCCTGCCCAACCTGTGTTCTTCAGTGGTTGCACCCGAGAGAATATAAAAGCTGCACGTTTCAAACAAAGCTGAAACAGTGGCACCGTTCCTGCAGATGGACAAATGGAGTCCAAGTGCCATGTGTTCATTGAACAGTATTATCAAAATGATTGCTGGCCAGAGCTAAAGATTATAGATGAAGTACTCTTCATTCTAATGAACAAACCGAACTGACAAGCAAAATAGAGACAGACTCACAGGTAGAGAGCCGGCTGAGAGCTATGGGGTGGGCGTTCAGGGGTGGAGGGATCAAGCAAAAAGGAAGAAGGACTCACGGACATGGACAACAGTGTGATGATTGTGGGGGCGAGCTGGGTGTAAGGGGGATAAATGGTAATGGAAAAAGTACAATTAAAAAGTTAAAAAATAAAATCCAGCTCACGATAAACTTGGGTAGCGAATGAGCCTTTCCTAACTTTTTGCCTCTCCAACTCCAGGTCAAGGTTTTAAACGGCATCTGCGACAAAACAATCCGATCGACCACGGACCCTGTCATGAGCCAGTGTGCGTGCCTGGAGGAGGTGCACTTACCGAACATCAAGCCCGGGGAAGGCCTGGTAAGAATTCCAACAACACGCATTTTATTGTTAAATAATAGCACATCGTCATTTATTAATTTTTTTCACAATGCCGTATTGCTTTCACTATAATTCCAAGTAAAATTAAATTAGACTGTCTTCCATCATGTAGTTAGGAATTTGCCATCTTGAACTGTTGGTATGTTTTTTTTTCCCTAAGATTTTTAAATTTATTTTTAGAGCGAGGGGAAGGGAGGGAGAAAGAGAGTAAGAGAAGCATCAATGTGTGAGAGAAGGTTGCTTTTTCGCATGCCCCCAGCTTGGGACCTGGCCTGCAACCCAGGCATGTGCCCTGACCAGGAATTGAACTGGTGACCTTTTTGCTTTGCAGGACAACACCCAACTCATTGAGAGCCACACCAGTCTGGGCTTGAACTGTTGATAATGTTTTATGTCTTCAAAGTATAAAAAATGAATACAGTTTTAAAACTGTCCATTCGTATCTTGGAGGAATTGTCTTAACAGTTCTATCTGTAGGACTTAGCAATGCAGAGAAATATAAAACATTTACAGAAAGTAAAGAAGGTCTCTGGACACAAAAAAACATGTGTTCTGAGAAGTCCCTGCTAGCACCTAGGATGGATGTGAGAAGAGGCTGCTTTGAAGAAATGATTCTTAAAACACCACTCAGAAATATCTCCATCAGTAATGTACTGTAGCTCTGTAATCACGGGACCTGAGAACACATACAGGTAGATGCCTAGGTACCTAGATCAGCACTGAGACATCTGCTGAAATGAATTCGCTGAAATTTAAGTGGAGGGAACTGAGGCCCATTGATGAGCTTAGAAGCTTTGAGTCAAGGTTTAATCCCAACCCTCAAGTGACTTAACCTCTTTATGTGTGGGTTTCTATATCTGTCAAAAGTGAATAATAATAATAGCAACTGCCTCTGCGGGGTGTTGAAAGTATTAAGTTAGGTGATGGATGCTGAGCATCAGGTGCTGAACATGTAGTACATGTGCGGTAATTGGGGGCTACAACTACTGGGGCTGCAGATGATGGTGTGGAGGAGGAGGAGGAGGAGGAGGAGGAGGAGGAGGAGTGCCTAGGGGAGATATCAAGGCAGCCTCTGCTCTCAGATAGAAAACCTGATGTCGACAAGCCCTCATTCTTAGCGAGTAGAAGTATGTATACGGAGACTGCAGGGCTTCAAAGTAATTGATGGGTTATAGGAGACCGGGCTGGGAAGGCTTCCTAGAGCTGAGTTTAAAGTTACGTATTGAAGCAGAGAAACGGCCCGAGTGGGCAGAAGTGGAGCTTCCATTTCAGATGGTAAAGTTATATTTCAGATGGTAAAGCACAGGCTCTGTGCAGAGGGGCGCCACACGTAGGGAGAAGCTGATTCCTCTGAGAATGAAAGTAGGAAACCAGAAAGGAGAGGGATGGGGCGAACCCTGCAGGTGTCGTCTTTGAGGAGATTCTCCTTGTAGAGTGGTGTCGGTAGCTGAGCAGGGCAAGTTCAGGGTCAAGGTGATTTCTTGGGGAGAAGCTACGTTATTATGATTTTGATACCAGGGTGAGCAATTACCCTTTGCCCAATCAACTCTTCTCTCTTTCTCCTTCTTACAGAAGTTTAATAAACATCTTTTATACATGATGTGCAAAAGTGCAGAAATGTGTTCTTGATGACAGGGCTAACTCACAGGAAGGAGTGTATTTGTCTTACGTTTCCCTTAACACGGGGAGGGGCTTGCTTCTAGTTTACTTCCTATGTTGTGTTATTTAACAAATTTGTTCATACATCCTGGTCTGGGTTGTTCATGGCTTGAGTAAGTCAACCTGCAGTGACTGCTGATACCAAATTTAACTGAATGTATTGTGTCACTAGACAAAGAGATGGCCAGGAGAGAACAGTCCTTGTTTGAAAGGCCTCATTCATCCTGCAGGACTGGGAAGATTCTTTCCAAGTCCCCAGAGTTACGGCAAAATTCGGTGTGCCTGGTAGACAAATGACAATATCAAAGAGATCTCGTTTCTGATTTCCCTCACTAGTATTTCAGTTTGTTTAGTTCTCCTTCACTGCTCTGAGGGTCTTGTTTCATAGTGTTTCAGGAGGCTTAACACTGAGCACTGTTCTGCAGGGACTCCCTTTAATGTTTTATAAGTTCAAGTCACACTTGTGGCTGTATTTGTAAACATTGGAGTAATGAGTTAATATTATCTGTGACTCTCTCTAGGGCATGTACATCAAATCAACCTATGATGGATTGCATGTGATTACTGGAACCACAGAGAACGTAAGTCCCTGTCGATTAAATGTAAAAGCTATCAGATGTTTACACAAATTGGACACAGAGTCCCCATACTTTTCGTGTAAATGTGTACATGCTGTTTTATTATCTGTAGTGAGAGCGCAGGCGCCTGTTTTGTTTATTCCTGTTGCTAGTGCGCTGCTTATCACCAGCTGTTGTCAATTTATTATTTAAATCGCCCTTTATTGCTCTTGTTCATGCACCTTGCCCAGTTTTTACCCCCACCATTGTGTTAATTATTCCTTTAGTACCCTGGAAGTATTATTGCATAAATACAAAAACAGTGATCTCTTTGTTGTTGAGAATCACTCTTATAAGAACTGGAATTGGTCAGCATATGTGTCAAATATGGTGTTTTTTTGGTTCAATGGAATTTATGTGTCACCAAAGCAACTATTTTTGGATTTTTGCATGACAAAGATTCTTTTTATAGAGCTGTATTTCATAATATTTGGCATGATATCAAAATTTAGGGGTTTTTTTTCCCCCTTAATCTGTTGAATAGGAAAAGCAAGGCTGTTTCTACTGTGAGACTTTGTACACTATTATCTTTCTTTTGGAAATTCTGCTACACGAATGACATTTCTTGAGCCTCTGAAACATTTTGAATTTGTGAAAAGTAGAGCTCAGTGAATGCTTTCTTTTTGCAACCTACAATATGGTGAGCTTTTAAATGACATTGGTATGAAGCGTAAAATGTTTGACCAGCTTCCAGGGTCTGTGAAAAAAAAAAAGTCATGTGTCTGGAATTAATCTACTATTTAATCAATTAAGACAAGAGGAAATGATTTCTTAAAATAGAAAAGATTGGGTATCTACTTCTCTAATCTGTGTGGTAGAAATACGTGTTGAATTTAGGTCTTTTGATACAATAAAATGGCATGATCTTTAATGAGGGTTTGTGACACACACTTGGTTTTGTAGTAAGAAAGTAATGGCATTGCTTAAGGCAGTCAATGAATTATAAATAAATTGTGTAGTTCCAGCAGACAAATAAGCAATGTCTTTTTAAGCATTCTCTGTTGAGCTACATTGAGAACAGACTGAGAACCACTAGGGGTTTCTATATCACCTCACCTGATAGGCAAAAACAGCACAGGAATTTCTTTTAGGCTGAGGATGGTATAAAAGAAAAGAAAAATGCATGGTGCCTCACACTCGTCCACCCTTATCCTTATCTGAGACTTTGTACATTTCAGCTGAACCATGACAGGAATATACTCATGGACCACTCAGGGCATCATTTGAGAGTTGAATGGATTCAGAAGGGTAGTGAATGTCAGCTAAACTTTTGGAGTTGGTTTTGTACCTAGCAATTTGGTGATTGCATTAACAACCAGACCTGTGTGGTTCCAAATCCTCTCTGGTCTTCTTGAAGCAATTCCTCTCTTGGATAAATGTTAAGTGTGTAGAACACTGTAATGTTGCTACCAGAAGGCACACAGATTTTTCATCTTCAAAAGGCACCCTCCTCCTTTTGTTTTAAGGATCAGAGCTGCATGAGGAACTAAACGAGCTGCTTTTCAATCAAATGAAATATCAAATATAACAATATGTTTTCCTAAAATTCCTACCAGACTCCTAAGACTGGGTGAGTGACTCAGGGTTTGCCTGGATGTGGTTGGCACTAGCGCAGGACTGCGCATAAGTCAGCCAGAGAGAGGTGATTTCCATCCAGTTAAAGATCAAGAAATGGGCACTTGTCTTATTCTGTTGGGTAATTCATTCGAGAGTGTCACTCACTCTTTCAGACATTCAGCTGTGTTCACTGGGTTCCTGGCATGTGCTGAACACTTACTAAGTCCTGCAGGTGAGGGTGGGAAGTGAGGTGAGAGTCCACGTTTCACGGGCTTAACCTGGCTAGTTTATCCTTCATGCTGGATGGAGACGCCAGCTACAGGACAGCTTTCGAGCTTAAGGCCACTATGACTTCAGAGTCAGAGTGTCTTAATGGAAACCCAGTGGGGAGGGTGGCCGAGGACGGAAATCTCCCGTTGCATTGCCAAGTCGATGGTTTGGTCTCCGTATTCCTCTATCTTGGGCTCCACGCTGAAGCAATGCCAGAGGCCATCTCAGTCCTCCAGGCCTTTGTTTTTTGTTTTTGTTTTTGTTTTGTTTTGTTTTTGAGGTTATCTGAGAAGCCATGATCATTCTAAGATCAGACTAAACAATATCTAGTGATTCTTTATCTAGCTTTTCTTTTCTGATGTTCAAGACCTTGACAGGAGCCTTGACAGGATGCCCTCCATACTCCTGTTGCACCTCCCCCGACCCCGTGAGATGAGGTGGGAATTAGATTAGCTTCTGAAGAATGGACACATTCATCTTCAGGTTGTTGCCCGTCTGCTGCTGCTAACCAGAACAAGCATCGTTTTTCAGCAGCCGGGCTCATGGTGAAGATAGGCAAGAGCTATTGCTCTAGGGATAATCGGGGTATCAGGCTCTCTCTTTACCAGTGTTCTGCCAAGCACAACTCTTAATCACTTGGTAGGACATTTGAGAAATGAATGTGTGAGGATCCTTAGGAAGGGAAGTCAATTCAGGACATTGGGGCTTGTCTTTTAAGATTGCACATCTGTAAACAGGGGCTTTCTGGCCTTGGGGCCATCTTTTATAAGGTGAAGCTTACCTTAAAGGAGTCTGTAGCCCAGGAGGATGAACTGGAAAAGTTGCTCTGTAGCTGTGAGTTAAGCAACCGACACACAGGGGCAAAAAAGAGCACTGATACATTCATTTATTTTAAGGGCCTCAAGAGAGAGATTCCAGTTAGGCCATCTCCCTCTGGTCCCCACGACACTAGTCTCTCAGGTGAGGCACTGCTGGTTGTTATGGCAGCCGGTTCAGTGTGCTTAAAAAATAACAGCCACACCTGTGCTTTGTGTTGGACCTAGATAAATCAAAGGGGATGTTTCCACAATTTACTGCTGCTTTTGCTCAGGTCTAGTTGGGTCTATCACAACAGTTGGGTGAGAAAATTCAGCAAGTGTGTCTTGAGTTTAGTTGCTACCCCCCTCACCCTGTTCAAAGGTGTTAATTTTTTTTGAGGATAGTTGTAAATTGTTTGAGATTCAGGCAGTTACATCAGTTACCAAATATTCTGGCCTAGACAGCATTTGATTATCATTTGAAATCAAAGGTTGATCCTTTCCTTCTCTTTTGCTCATAAAAGATATCTTAATCATAAACAATTCTAGTTTGATTAAATGAACAAGAATGCTACAGCTGAAACATTCGACAAGTAGATTATATCAATACATCTATATATACATGCATATGTGAGTACATCTGTATTGGCAAATTGATAAAGTATTCTTTTGGAAAGGAAAGTCTAGAAGTTTGTTTTGATACTCGAAACATGTTTATTCTGAATTAAGCCTGAAAATGAAAAAAATTTAAATTTATTGTCTCTAAAAAATTTCTGTTTTCACGTCTTTCTACTTTAATACCATTGGGATAAGATGTAAACAAGATTGAGTAAAAATAAGATTTAGCTTTAGTAATTGCTAAAAAGGAAGTGGATGACAGAATTAGAGTTAAACAGCGGGTCAGCTTTTACAAAATTTGTTCTGATACAGGTAAGGTAATGTATTTTTAGGCGAGCCAATGGCTTTTATCAGCTCATTGTGCCCAGACTGTGTCCCACTCTCCCTGACAGGTGACATGAACCCCACAGTTGTAACTGACAGATTATCCGTTGTAACAGACCACTGATAAAATAGGTAACACAAGTTTTAATATACCAGGTTCTACAGACAATGCAGTCTCAGGGGACTCACGTACATTGTCTAATGTTTCTTGAGAAAATTACATTTCCATTGCTCATTGTCTATAGAAGAAAGAAGGAAGAAGAAACAAAAGCAGAAAGAAACACAAAGCTTGAAAAATAAGGCAAGTCTCTCTCTTTGTTTCTAACAGTCTCCTGCAGACAGATCTCAGAAGATTCACGCTGGTGATGAAGTCATTCAGGTTAATCGGCAAACCGTGGTGAGTTTCCCACCGACACTTAAGACTCAATATTCCTCTCTGGAACTTTTAACTAAATCCAAAGCCATTTTGCTTGAATTTTTAAAATTTGCAGTTTATATCCGATTTTCCATACTTTTAAGTAGTACTCAGATGAACATATTTGTATCCGCCTATTTGTGTCTCTCTATTTGCTCACAGCTGATATCCTTGAGATCCATTCATAGGTTCGATTTCTTTCCTTATTCATGAGTGGGCCCCCTCTCCTCATCTTCCTCTCTGAAGGTGGGATGGCAGCTGAAAAACCTGGTGAAAAAACTGAGAGAGAACCCGACCGGAGTGGTGCTCCTGCTGAAGAAGCGCCCCACGGGCTCTTTCAACTTCACTCCTGCGCCTCTGAAAAACCTGCGGTGGAAGCCGCCTCTCGTGCAGGTATCTGGTCTGTTCCCACTGTCTGCGTAGGCCTTCGTCTGGTATCAGGGCATGAACGGGGCTCAAAAACAGCCAGATTAATATCGGAAGGAGATCGGTTGCAGGAGTTTGTATATGCGTAATCTCTCCTATAATCCTACTTATGTGAAAACAGGCATTCTAGGTCTGCCCTGAACAGCGTAGTGCCCACTAGCCGCGTGTGACTGCTTCAATAAAATTAAAAGTTCAGTTCCTCAGTCTCACTAGCCACACTTCTGAAGTTTCATAACCATACATGGCTAGTGGCTGCCATGGCTGCAGGGAGTTCATTCTGAGTCTTCTCTCATTTCAAATGCACCCTGATATGTATCCAGTTTAAACCCTAACCTTGGAGGACCGTGTGGGGCTGAGTCAGGGGTGGGGACCGTGGGAATAATCCACACAGTGGCGAGAAGTATCACTCTACTGTTCAGACATTGTTTAGAATTGCCAGTCTTGGGTGATAATAAAAAGCCGACGGACTTTTAGTGAGTTTTATTATTTAAATTCTCTACAAACAGTACACTCCTTTGTTGCCTACACCTTGGTGGACCGTGCCCGCTGACTAACCCCTCATTATGCCATTGGTCCTTAGCATTTCTTTCCTAGACCATGAAGGAAAAGCAGTGACATTTGAATACCCTTTTATAAGACTGGGATTGCAATTTCTATGTAGCTGTGGTTTTTTGCACATCTTCAAATGGAAGAACAGTAGTAATCTCAAATCCATACGTTTGGATACTTCATGCTGCACAGAGCACTGGGAGGTGGATTAAATAACAGGGCGTGGAGGGTGGAGCAAGGAGGCACATGGAATTAAAACCCCTTCTTAAATAATAACTGAACATATTAACACACCCCAGCTGCTTCTGTGTGCCTTGCTCAGTGCAAGGGGTAACATCTTTAAGTTTAGAGGGGTTCTCTGAATGCGTTACTTAATATCACAAAACTCTTACTTCATGCCTAGTAGTTGGCGGAGTGTCTGCCAGCTACTAGGTGCACAGAGCAAATGGCAGGCTCTGAAGAAGGAGAGGTGGAGGTGGGCCAGGTAGGCGAAGGCTCCGTGCCCGTGAAGATGGGAGCACTTTGGAGCCTGGAGTGCTGGATGGCATTTGGTGGGTGGGAGGCGGTGTCACAGAGCAGGTGAATGCTGTTCTGTAGACACACCCCCGCAAGTGCCAACAGGGAAGGGTGGTGTCCTAGACAAGGTTTCCTAGAAGCAGAATTTGTGACAGAGATTCTTGTGAAACTGACCTTTCAGGACATATGCTTCAGGTAAAACCTGTAAGGGAGGAAGGGAGACAGTAAGGAGCAGGAAGCCAGCAAGGTGGTGTCTCAGGTAAAGTCTAGCCTTGGCCTGTTATACAGGTGTAACCATGGAACAATAGGCACCTGTAGCTGTTCTCAAGGGGAGGAGCTGTCTGCTGAGAGCTATTCTCCAGAGAAGGGAACAGTTGTGAACTTTCAGCAGCCAACTCATGAGCTGGGTTCGCTGGCTGGCAGAGGGGCCGTGGGTATATAACCCTACTGCAGAAATGTGTAGGACGGGACATTCCCTCTGTGTCCCCCGCCACCCCATGCAGGGCAGGCGAGGAAGCTGGGCTGGTGGGCTGAGATAGTACAGACCGCCAGGGTTAGGAGTGTGGACTTCATCCACAGGTAATAGGCTGACAGTTGTTTTTTACATGAATATATGCATTAGTTTTGTAGGGGTGCCCTAACCAAGTACCACAGATTGGGTGACTAAAGCCAAGTTCCTTTTCTCGCAATTGAGAAAACTAGAAGTCTGGGGTCAAAGTGTCCTCAGGGTTGATTTCTTCTGAGGCCTCCCTGCTTGGCTTGCAGACAGCCACCTCCTCCCTCTGTCCTCACCTGGTCTCCCCTCCGCGAGTCGTTGTCCTAATCTTTTCTTATAGGGACACCAGCCATCATGGAGTTAATGAGCTTGTTTTAACTTCATTATGTCTAAAAGGCCCTATCTGTAAATATAGGTACATTCTGTGGTACTGGGGGTTAGGCCTTCAACACAGGGATTTTGAGGGGGACATAGTTTAGCCTGGGACATAATTTAACAGAAGAAACACCAGGTGGGAGCTGCTGTATGTCCAGGTGATTGGTGCTTTGGTTCTGGGAAAGGCTGGTGACAGGGTGATTTCAGTGAAAAACTAATGTACAAGGCTATTTGGAAGGAGACTTACGAAGTGGCATAGCATAGTGGTTAGGAGAGGGCCTGTGCAGTTGAACCCCTCAAGTTCAAATCCCAGCCCTGCTATTTATTAGCTGTGGGACCTTAGACAAGGTACCTATCTTTTGAAACCTCCCTCCTCACTCATTATTAGTGTGGACTGTTAGAAAAGGCTTCGGGCTGAGAGATGAGGAAAGCCAAGATGGCAGGTGTGAAATGTGACAGTGACAATGAACCTGAGTGGCGGTGTCAGTGACAGAAATTAGAATGTGAGCAAAGAGCCATCTGGAAAGCAGAGATGATCACTCGTTTGAACATCACAGAGTTTGATGCGATAGAGGAACATTCAAGTGGATGTGTTCAGAGGCTAAATGAAAATTATTTCTAAGTATAGTCTAGCGTTAGACCCTTAACCTCTGGACGCTCGCTTAAGAAGGGCGCGCTTCCCTTGTCTCCTGTTTTGTCTACCTTGATGCCAAGTTCCATTAACTGTGGAGTTTGGGGGAAGAGGTGATACTGAGGGATGAGACACGCAACTTTGCTTTTGACCCAAGGAGAGAACCGCCCTCAACATGCAAAAGCACTTTATAGCTTAGGCACCACATGTTCTCGCGATGCCTCAGGACATCTGCGGAATCTGAACGCGGGCAGATGAAGGCTCCGAAGACTCTCTCAGCCCCTCCCCGTGGGTCGCTGTGTGTGTCATTCTGCAGGGGTGTTGACGCCAGGGTGCCCGCCTTTCCTGGGAAGCAGTGTCTGTAATTCTTGTCAACATCGTGAGTGTTGTCTCATCACTGTCATCGTTCTGTTTTTGGGTCGCAGTCGCGGTCAGCGAGGGTTGCTGATTCAGAAGTAACCATCATCGGTGTTGGAATTTTCAGAGCGCTTTATCGGTGGAAGTACTCAAGTTTACTTTTCTTTAACTTGCTGAGGACCTGGATCCTGGCCCCTGTGTGTTTAGACCTCATCCAAGATAAGCAGATTGAGATGTTAATCAGTGACCCACTGAGTAGAGTTGACTGTTGACGTGTTAATGGCCAACATCCAGGACAGGGTGCTTACGCTACAGGAGACAAAAGACTGAGCCCCCGATTTTCTGTCTCCCCTGAAAATCGACTGTCACTCCGTGAGCACTGGCTATTCCAGTCCTGCTGGTCCTTCGAATCTAGTTCACCATCTCATTATGGGGACACTTTGGGGTCTTCCGTCACCATCCATCACCACCTGGGCAAGGTGGGGTTTGCAGTGCCTTTTTCTGTCTGTCCAGGGCCCAGCACAGTTCTCATGTGGTGCCTCCCTGGCTTCCATGCATGTCCCCATGGCTTGACTTGGAGATTCCCTTGCTGCTCCTTTACCAACTAGAAGACAATTACTGTTGTTAGTCTATAGAAGAGAGAAGACTGAAGGTCTCACACAAGATCTTTTTTATTTATTTATTTTCTAAGTATATTTTATTGATTATACTATTACAGTTGTCCCTTTTTTTTTCCATACAAGGTCTTAAAAAAATAGGTCTTTTGATGCCAATAGCATAATTAAAATTAAGCCGTGTGGATTTTATATTTTTAAAATTAACATGTATGAATGTGTATGTATATGTAACACTAAATTGAACAGTGTAAAGTCGTGCACTTCCTAGGTGACAAGCAGGAATCTAAGAGCATGACATACATTATCTCACCTAATGCTCATAGCTACCCTGGTTGGTCCTATTCTTGTCCCCGTTTATTTCTGCTTTTCAGATGAGGCCCGGAGGAGTTCCTTGACTTACCCAGAGGGAGACACAGCTAGTTCCCTCTTACCCGCGGTTTCCCTTTTTGTGCCTTTAGTTACCTGTGGTCAACCATGGTCCAAAAACATTCCGTGGAAAACCCCAGAAATAAACAGTTCATCAGCTTTAAGTTGCTTGCCCTTCTGAGTAATGGGATGCAGCCCCTCACCATCACGCTCTGTCCTCCCTGGGACATGAATCTTCCTGTATCCACGTCGTGCGTGCTCCCTGCCCTTTGACACTTCATAACCTCCTCAGTTATGAGATTGGCTGTCAGATATATTGAGAGAGAGAGAGAGAGAGAGAGAAAGGGAGGAGGGAGACCACGTTCACGGAACTTTTATTACAGTATATTGTTATAGTCATTCTATTTTATTATTACTTACTGTTGTTAATCTATTACTGTGTCTGATTGACAAATTAAGCTTCATCGTAGGTATGTATGTTTAGGAAGAAACATAGGACATACGGGGTTCCTGTACTATCTGAGGTTTCAGACGTCCACTGGGGTCTTGTAGTGCATGCCCTGGGGTAAGGGGAGACTACTGCATAGCCAGCGTTGCACCCGGATTGTCTGACCTCTGAGCCCACACTCCTGGTCGATGGTAGTGTTGTTCAAGATTTGTATTCACCGACTCATTTAATCCTCCCTGCCACCCTATGCAAAAGGTGCTGCCAGTGTGGCTCTGTTCCAGAGGAGGAAACTGGGGCACGGGTATTTTAAACGACTTGCTAAGAGCTAAAATTTTAACCCAGGCATCTGGTTTCCGAGCCTCTGTTTCTCCCTAAGTGTCTAGCTTGTCAGAACTCCCAGTTAATTCTCAGTGTCTCAGAGAGGAACACCTGCTGAACGTTGCTAATAGCTGTAAGCACACGGCCACCCACGCCTTTGCCGCTTGTTTGTGCAGAGGGCGGTGCTGGCTTAGGGGAGGGGGGACTTGCCCTAAGAATGACATCCGAGGTGACCTCCGCCCTTGTGCACTTGGCTCCTGTTTCAGACCTCGCCTCCGCCCACGACGACCCAGTCCCCCGAAAGCACCATGGATACCTCGCTGAAGAAGGAAAAGCCAGCCATCCTGGATCTTTACATCCCTCCTCCGCCAGCCGTACCCTACTCTCCCCGGTACGTCACTGTCCGTTTTGTGGCATGCGCGTCTTTTCGTCGCGGAGATTCTAAGCGCAGGTGGGACGATCACAGGGCTCTCGAGGGGAAATGCTGCTGAATCCCAGCGTGGCAGCGTTGAGTCTTAAAATCATTGTTGAAGAGTGTGATCCTGGGGGTGGAGGTGGGGTGGGGATGATGCATGTGGGCAAAGGCGCAAACTTCGGCTATAAAATAATCGAGTCCTCGGGAATGTCATGTAGGACGGTGACTTATGACAACAGTGTACCTTGTTACATGCCAGTTGCTGAGAGAGTAGACCTTGAAATTCCTCATCCCAAGAAAGCAAGACTTTGTAACTATGTGAGGTGATGGGTGTTATTTAAACTTACTGTGGGGATCACTTCTATATCTAGCTGTCTAAAATCATTATTTGTACACCGTGAACTAATACGATGATATGTCAATTATATCTCAGTAAAACGGGGGGGAAATCTGTGATTCTTCAGGGGGAAGTGCAGGGACAGATCTAGGTTTCACGGGCCTTGTCGCCTCATAGTTGGGTAGGGGGAGGCTCTTCATGGAAGTACGTGCTCGGGAACATGCTGTGGTGGCTCCGCCCTGACACGGGAAGGGGCTGTTTGGGGTTCCCTGAAGCTGAGTTTCATGCACTACATGGTAAATCCATCTCTGGGGAGGAAGATAATAAATATTTTTGGGACATTAACTAAAGTTACAGCTTTATTTTGCGGAGGGAGATACGTTCTTTGTAGCACTTAAAAAATGCAGATGTGGATAATGCTATATTTGTACATGTGTGTTTACGTGTGTGTCTATTATAAATTCTTAAAGGTCATTGCTTTACAATGGCTGTCTTTAATGTTACATGGTATAATGGGGATGGTCGCACTCGATGTCATATAGGGGATCATTTAGATATGAAATGTAGGCTCATTTATGTCAACTTACATATTTACGTAAGCTGATAAAACCAGGGGATGTGGCTCGTTCATTCAGTATGCATTTATTACTTGGTGTTAGGCCTGGGTTACCATATTACATGTAACAGATACAGTTCTTGCCCCCAGAGAACTGCCAACCAATGTCTTAGTCAGCTATTCGAGAATAAATTGAGAAATATATAATTATGCTATAATGTTTCATAAGACAAAGTTCAGGCTGAACTTAGAGCAGCATTTTACTTTATATTGGAGTTTCTCATTTGTTTGTTTTGTTGTAAGCTGAACTGCTGGCGTCTATTGGATTTATTCCTGGCACAAAGAAGAATTAATGTCATTTACCTCTTCTTTGACTCTTGGTTTGCCCAGGACTCCTTACAGCACATAGAACAGTCACCTTAGGCAAACGGGGCATTCTGGTTGGTAGACAGGACTCTCTCTTGTAGTCACAGGCCAGAGTCATGTGGCCATGGGATCTTAACTGTGTTTAAAGCGACAGGTTGTCGCCTTTGCACACGCAAACACGAGAGTTTCACTGACAATGAGTGTATGGGTTGTTCTATCAGAAATTGTAGGGAGGACATGCCCCAGCCCCTGCCCTGAATGTTCTTGTCTGGGTCTCAGCGAGGCGTCACCGAGCAGTGGCAAGAAAGAGGGTAAGGTACACGGGGAACGAGAAGAGGAACTGGGGCTTTTGATCTTCTTGAGGGAGGCACGTATGCATGCGTGTGCTCACACACACCATTGATGGGGGATAGTTTCCGAGGAATAAAAAATGCAAATGGTTACGGAGAACAAGTGGTGAGTCATGAAAGTTTTGTGAATGGGGAAGTCGTACGCCAGGTTTAAAATGTGGAAGGAGATGGGTTCGTGGGGGAAGGGGTGCTTAGGCAGCCACTCCCTGGGAACAAATGCCACGCAGGCTAAGCTGGTCTCCAGGTGGGTTTGGACTCAGCTGATTCTGTATTTTTGTCTAGTAGTTTTTACAGGAATCACCTAATGGAATTTATTAAATGCAAAAAACGTAACCAGCTCGTCACTTGGACTCAACTAAGATTAATTTTAACTTTTATCATAGGCTGACATTTAGGAGGAATACAGTTGCAATCAAAGATCTAACTTTTGCCAGTTTCTTTACTTGGTTCAGAAAAAAGACACTCCCCGTTGAGGACTACAAAGGCCCTTTGTATTTTTTGACATAATATTCAAATCTGACAACTCCGTTGCACATCATGTGTCCTTTTTTCCCCCTGAATCTTGGCAAAGACACTACTCTGGGCATGAGAAAAATGGTTCACCTGATCACACCTTGACTAGAGATCCCTGCAGGAAATAGGCAGTTCCATGGCAGGACAGGTATATGGCGAACCAGAGCCATCTTCTCAAAGGTGTATTTGTACCATTGAACACCTTTGGGAAAAAACTTCACTTCCCCCTATTTAGTAGGATCATGGTATTTACTCTTACTTAATAGGATCTTTAGGTATTTGAGGAACAACTAGGTTTGAAAAAGTCATGTTTTTCGCCCCCCAGGGGAAAAGGCAATTTACATTTTATGTCTGTCTCCTGTACAGTGATTCTTGAGCATGGGAGGAACTTTGTCACCCCCTTCATTATTGCCCACTGTCTTCCAGGGATGAGAACGGGAGCTTCGCTTATGGAGGCGTCAGCAAGTGTAAACAAGCCGTGCCTGCTGCCAAGGGCTCGGAGTCCCCAAACTCCTTCCTGGACCAGGAGAGTAGAAGACGGAGATTCACCATTGCCGACTCTGATCAGTTGCCTGGGTATTCGGTCGAAACCAACATTCTGCCCACAAAAATGAGACAGAAGACACCATCTTATGGTACGTTTGGGAGTGTTTGTTTTGTTCTGCCGTTTGCTGTTCTCCTCTTCCCCACCCCCTTCCTTATTTGGAACTGTTGGGTGAATTTGGCAGACCCTCAGGGTAATCTGAGGAAAACATAAACCTCAATGAAATTCTAAGTATGAGACCTTTATTCATCTCTCTAAAGCGAAGCCTTGTTGAGTCATTGCTGTGCCTGGCATCAAAGCCCAGTGGGTGAGATCATGTTCCGGTTTTAACTTTCAGAGCCTGGGCTTTAACTTTGGAGTTGCTTCGCTTTCTACACCCACAGGCTCAGGTTCAGCACGCCCTTGTCCTGACGCTGTGCTGCGGGAAGCCAGTGCTTTAAAACACTAGCCCTATTTTAAACTTTGTTATTGGTTCTGCGTAAGTGAGTGTGACATTGCGGGGGTGGAGGTCTGCGTTACAAATAAAGGGGAAGATTCTCTGAGCCAAAAAGTCACCCACTGTCACTTTCCTTCCCCTCCCTCTGAAGGCAAACCCCGGCCTTTGTCCATGCCTGCGGATGGGAGCTGGATGGGGATCGTGGACCCTTTTGCCAGACCTCGAGGTCATGGGAAGAAAGGCAAGTTCAAGCAAATCATGTGCAAAAAGGAATCGAAAAATCCAGGCCCTAGTTTTAGCCCTGTGCCTAAATTTGTTGTGATAACTGGATAGAGGACTCGCCTCTCTAAGCTACATCTTTTCATCTCTAAAATCAGGAGAGCTGAAGATCTCTCAGATCCTACTTATTTCTAGAATGGCAGAATTATGCAATGCTATTAGTGATTATAAATCTCCTAATTAGCAGTGGGTGCTTTGAAAAGGCTGTAGACATTAACGGTCCAGTTTCTAAGCAAGTAGAAATAAATTATTCATTATGTAATCTCATCCTAAATTTTATGGCTATGATTATTGGAGTCTGTTTGATTTTTCATGAACAGGCATGGATTTTTTTTCCCCCTCCCCAGTCCTTCCTGTGTTAGAGAGTAATTACTGTTGGAAAGGAAATTTGTACTTAATTAACCCTGTAATCATTTACTGGTTATTACACCAGTCTTGAGGGAAATGTTCATAAATACTCTAATTTTTTGCTAGTTTTTATTTGATGATATCAGCACTGGCAGGATATTATAAGATTGCTTTTGCAGAGCTAAAACAAAGCAGGTGACAAGTTAAAAGTCCAGCAGGTTTTAGATAGTAAAAGGAAGAAGAAAACATTCTGGAAGCCCAACTTTCAAAGTGATCAACCTCTGACATCTCCTTGGGACTTGTTAAAGTTTGTCACCCAAGTACCCGAATCACCTGGATTATGCTAATGTGGAAAAGGAAAAGGACACCTGTCTAAAGTCCGGAACACCTGTAGTTGACATGTGACAATCTGTGGAGCTGTCAGCAGGTGGCAGGCTGTCCTTTGTTTAGATTTGAAATGCCAACGTCCATGTTGCCATTCTCTTAGCCTTTTAAGCTCTGAGGTAGCCTTTTATTTCCTTTACATACTGAGCGATGGGCTGGGGGTAGGGCAGGGCATGTGAAATCATTAGATAGAAACATATGTGAACCCCTGTTCTACCTTCCACGTTTTTCTTGTATGATCATTTTGGAATGAAAGGTGCCTGCACATTGCACATATTAATTAAAAAAACAGCTTTATTGAAGTATAGCTTGCATATACTGTAAAGCTCACCCTGTAAAGGTGTACAGTTGAGTGGTTTTTAGTATATTCACAGAGTTGTGTGTTCATAACCATTATCTAATTCTAGAACATTTTATCATCTCACAAAGAAACCCCCAGGCCCATAAGCAGTCACTTATATCATTTGCTCCTCCCTCAGCTCCTGGGAACCCTCCTTTCTGTCTTTATAGATTTGCTTTTTCTGGACATTTCATATCAATTGGCTCATATAATATGTGGCTTTTTGATAATGGGCACTTTTTAAAAGTAGCTTTCCGTCTTTGATTACAAAAGCAAAATGAGTACAGTGAAAAATGTCTAGAAGGTACGAGAAAATAAAACCCAGCTGTAAATTGCTTCCCCAGTCTAGAAATAATCACTATGAATATTTTGTGTACCTTCCAGTTGTTTTCATATATACAACTATACATTTAGAAAAAATGGGCAGAGTGGCTATTCACTAATGCTATGTAAGCTGAACATTATCTGGAATATGCTTTTTAATAGCTGCATTAGTAATCCACCTTATGGCTATAATACCTATTTTTCAGTCATTGTTGGGCATTTAGGTTATTTCTGTTTCTATCTCTATACTCCCATCATAAATAATGCTTCAATAAGCACCCTCGTACATAGATCTTTGCACTTTTTTAGGAGTAGAATTTTTGGCCAAAAGAATGCCAAAGTGCCCTACATTGTAGATTTCTATTCAGCTTCACAAATACCCCCCTTATATCCCAGGGGGATCTACCCGCATCTTGGGTGGGATCAGTCTTTCTTGTTTGGAAATGTCCCGAGCATCACAGAGCATTAAATTTTTGGACCTTATCCATGAAAGGTGACTAGTGCCTACCCTTCACTCAGGGTGACAACTGTAGGCACCTCCGCCTTTCTGAAGGCTCCTTAGGGACACTGCAGGATAAGACACATGTTCTAGAAGCACATGCTATGTGTTGCAGGCATTGTGGAATGACAGATAGGGAAGGAGTGATGGAGTTATACAGCTTTCCCTCTTTGATTTTTGGTTTCAAGTGTAATTATGAAGATTCTTGTACTGGTAATGAAGGGCAGGGGTCAGCGAGGCCTTGTAGCCGATCTCGGGGAGGGGGGCAGGGTGTGGCACGCATGATCAGTGAACGTCAGAAGTTTAGGTAGGCTTCAGGCCCACTTCACAGTGTTATGTGGTGGGTGGCTATTTTAATGGACTTGTGGTCTTTGTCTGAAAACAGGGGAGGAGGCCCTTTGTCGATACTTCAGTAATGAGCGGATCCCTCCCATCATCGAAGAAAGCTCCTCTCCCCCATACCGCTTCTCCAGGCCCACCATGGAGAGGCAGCTGGTCCGAGCAGACTACATCCGAGGCAGCAGATGCTACCTCAGTTCAGATCTCCATAGCAGCGCCACAATGCCGTTCCAGGAGGAAGGGACGAAAAAGAAATCCGTCTCCTCCGGGGCCAAGTCCTCGTCTACAGAACCGTCCCTCCTGGTCAGCTGGTTTACTCGCCTGAAACTGTTGACTCACTGAGCCCTGCGCTCTCCAGACTCCCCGCTGCCCCTGCTCCCAAGTGCCTTGCTTCCTCAGTGGACGACCTGTTCTGATTTTCATGCACAGTATTATGTAGACACCTTTTGCAAATTCATTTGATTTTATTTTTGGAAAATTGTATGTCGTCCTTCTTGGAATGTTGAAGGGAGTGGGCGGGAACAAGTCCAGAGGGTCTTAGGTGCTGGCCTGTGGAGGCAGAAGGAGGAGATGGGTAGAATGGGCATTTTTTGCTTCCTTAGAGTCGGAACATGGAGACACACTCCACAAACCAAGCCTCTGCATAGGCGGAACTGGGGCATTGTTCATTTTGGGGGCAGGAGGAAATTGGTGCCCATTGTCACACAGATGTGTTGGATTGTGGTCCAACTTGTCCACCTGAAGAAGCCAGTGGAGAAAACATTTTCATTCTGATTTTTCAAGCTACATACCACATGTGTCAGTGTAGCGGCAGCTTTGACTCTGAAACAGCGTGTTTCAGAAGTGTCTGCCGCTCTTTCCGAGCAGAGGTTTAAGTGTAGACCTGTTACACTTGGTTCATCCCCTTTTCCTAACAACCCCCAGGTAGGTCGATTAATGCAGAAACACACTAAATAGGGTTTATTACACACAAAGAAGTGTGTGGTTCTGAGGCACGTCACTTTATAGATTGTTGTCTTTGAGGGCCTAGAAGCTATGAGATTTGCTGACAGCCAAAGTATCATTAAGAACAATGAAGCGACGGGACTTAAGTTTCTGAAAGATGCATCAGTTTCCATTTTGACCTGTTCGGTGTCTATCTTCCAGAAAAGAAGGGACAGTTCTTCAATATTACACATTTTGCTAATTAGAAATAACTTGGAAAGTCTCATGGTCACAGATTTTCAAGTAGCATCAGGTATTTTGGAAAAGTGTGTCTGGATATTAACTCTTGTTTAAACTGAATGTATGATATTTTGTTAGAATGAAAAAGTACTATCTTGTTAATTTAAGTGTTTTAAATATAGTTGTATATATTTTCTTACTCCTAGTTACGTGTAATGGAACTTTTTCTGTTTTGTGCCATATACTAAACTCACGAAAAAGAGTGTTCAGGGTGTTTTCAGATTTACAAGGGACCGCCATGGCTGTTGCCACCAGGAGCACTAATGTTAAAAAAACAAAATAAACCCTCCCAAGAATTTGGGATTTGATGGATTAGAAATGGGGGCATTGAGGAAGCAGGTGTAAAGTAACATTACATTTGAGGAATTTTCTGAGACGTTTTTCTCGCTACAGCTCGTATCCCCTACTCAAAAATACATGTCCCTCCCATACCCCTGAAGTATTTATTTTGCCGAACTTCCTGAAATTCGACAAATTGGAGATCCCCTGGAGTGACTGGCTACCTTCTCTTGGAACTGACTGTGGTGAGGTGAAGCAAACGAATAGCCCTCACGGATTAGTGTGAATTCAGCCAGGCATGGTCTGGAACCCCCTAAGGGAACTGCAGTTGAGAATATGGGTGTTTTCATGGGGGGACAGAAAGGAGTTTGTCAAGCTGTGGGTAGAAGAGGCTGGGATGTGTGATTCCTTGGGAGTTCAATGACACCATGTAAGGGCCCGGCGTGGGGGCGGGGAGGTCTGGTAATTGGGCCCCGGGAGGCAGCTGTGGGAAAGGAGGAGCCACAGCCCTTGCCTGCTTTACTGTCAGCATGTGCTGGCGTCAAGCCCAGAATGTGGGGTGGCAACGCGTCCTCTTACTTCCTGGGTAACGGGAGGACCGACTGGCAGCGCTGTAGTCTGGCTCAGTTATGGGCAAAGTAGCTTTGGAGGGCAAGCAGGAGATTGGCTCCTTTTTGTGGAGAAAAGGCCACTCGTGATCAACTGACCATTTTCAAATGAATTTGCAGAAGTCAGCCTCCATTCTAGGCCGTGCCTGACTTAAATTACTGTACCAAATGTTTTCCAGACTGTCCCCTGGAGTCCCAAGGAAAGGCCAGAGGATGTTCTGCGTTCTCTACCTTCTTTGGTCAGCCTCCACAGATTCATTTTTGTTTCTATTTGGGCTTTTCTCCTGAATTGTGTTTAAGAAATAGGTGGCTGCTAAAAGAAGTTTGTATACATCTCTCCTGTCGAGATATAGAAATGAGAGTTTAATACTAATTTCTTAGCAACTAACAGAAACTGCTTACCCCAATAGTAACCCACATTGAATAGCGGACGGGTGTTAACATATGAAGATGCAGAATGACACTTTTTGACATGATACTTTAAAATAGTGATTTCTAAAAATACTACCAGCCCAAATTCAACACACACCTCTTTTTGAAATAAATATAACATCATTACAATCATTAAGTGAAAATCAAGGATGATAAAGTCTACCTCTGTACACAAAACCATCACCCCACTCACTATGCCAAAATAAAATTAATAGGCAATATAACTGGCCTTGATACCACACACATCAGTTTAATGTCCTAACTGAAATACAAATATCAATATTAAATATTATGTAATGAAATAATTATTTTCATGTATAAATGTGCAAGCACAGTTGTATTACAAGATGTTGGGAAATAATGAAACAAGGCCCATACTTGTACCTCTATGTAAAATCACCAGGAACGTGACAGCTGCAAATGCAGACCAATACAGGCCAGCCAGGCTGGCAACTCAGTACCAGGAATGGATGATGCCAGCAACAAGGTTTTCTCAAGTGTGGCCAACTCTCGATGAGGCTCTAGACAAAACAAATCCGCAACCGCGGCCAACACGCACAGAGCGCCCCCTGGGTGCCTGCTCTGAACCCTCGCAGCTTTGCCCGGTGGGCGCCCCTGGCGTTCCCATTTCCCGTGCGGGGAGTTGTCCAAGGGTGTGCAGATGATACCAGCTGAGCTGGGGTCAACGTTCTCTAGTTTTGGTCCTTGCTCACCTTCGCCTTGATGCTCAGGCTTCCCTCCGTGTATAGAATATTGATTGCTTTTCTGAAAAATCCAACACACGTTAAAACTGGGTAAAAGATTCCCTGTGTGCATAGATAGGTAAGATTATAGCCTCACGTGATTCTAAACCGGGTTTCCATCCACATGACTACTTGCTGGGGCAGTTGAAAGCTGTGCTGATGGGGACGGTTCTTTGTTGTGAGGGGTCTAACCCATAGGGCTCCTGCAGCACCCACGTTCCACCTGTTACAGGGCTTGTGATTCCATCATTAGCACCTCAAAAGCCCTCCTATTTCCAAAGTTGCCTCTAGGGAGCCTTACTGTCCATTGAGAACAACGGATTTAAAACACCTGTATCATCATTAAGTAGTGTTTTTCTCTTCGTGTTATGTGTTTGTCAATTTTCTACTTCTGCTTCTCTCTCCTTAGTCCTCTCCTCACCCAAAGTTTTAGAATCAGTTTTCTCGGGGTTGTTTTTGTTATTGTGTTTGCCCCCCCCCCCCCCGCCCCCACCACCCCCCATACAGCAAGTGGTAGCCCTCAGAGAAAAATAAGATGTATTTACACCTTTCATTGCCTAAAGAACTTGAGCAAGTAAATCTCTTTGCTTGACCTTTGAATACTACCGGCAAGAATAATCCTGAAGTTGAGGTTTTGGCCTGATTTGGATGTTTCCAGCTTGTGCACCTGTGATCAGCCTGTACCCGCAGGCCATTCACTCTCCCCCCCGCCCCGCCCCGCCCCACCATGGACAGACTCTGCATCATTTCCTTTGGGGTGAGCCAACCACTGCAAGCTACTTCCCTGGAGATCATAGGGAAGGTGGGTTTCTGGTATAGCCACTTTTTGGCTTGGCCAATGAATTTAATTTTATTCATTTTTGGAGTTACTCTGCTTGTGTAATTTTTTATAGGTTTATGCTAATCGCCTGGAAGTTGAGTATTTAAACCTCTATTGATTTAAAACGGGCTTAAGGAGTACTCAGAAGCTGAGGTTTCTTCAACTGTGTGGAAGCCTTTGCATGGTGGGTCTGGCCTCGTAGGACCATAGTACACATTTACTGATACCTAAAGGGACTTACAGATTTTATAACCTGTAGGACATGGGATTAGAAAATGTGTTAATCTTATTATAAAATTCACCTTACAGTTTTCTGGAAATTTCTCAACTGCTAGGTTTTGTCTTCAGAGTTTTTTTAATGTTAGCCAGAATTATTGCTGGAAGGGTGCTGACTTAACAGTTCTTGACAAAAGCGAGGTTCAGCATAAATAAAGGAAAAAGAGATTACATGAAATTCAGATTAGCTAGAAGGTCATGTTTTTTCCTAATTTTAGGGATGTGAGGTCTGCCTCAAACTGTGCGTGTGAGCATGTGTATAAAAGAGAGTTTTTTCTTACTACAAAATCCCTTCTGCAATAATGGCCTATGGCTTACTGATCTGGAAAGAGGAGAGATAAGATTTTGTCTACAATCAAAATAATGTCACTCAACCCGGAGGTTGTCATATAGCATTTCAGAACCTTTGAAGCACTGATTCTGCTTCCCTTACATAGAAATGCACATGGTGCTGGGTCTCTAGGAGCTAGATCCCAGTTTCAAGCTGACCATCCCTAGGCATATTCTGAAATTTTATGGCAGTGTTTAAAAGCTCATCTTCTGAGTTGATCAGCTGTTTATGTGTGCTGCCAGTTTGCAATGGACTTCAGGGATTAAAATGTTGAGTATACCACTGAAGGAAGTGGGTTTGAATCCTACATTCTCTTCTGGGGACCCACCAACTGCTCCAGAGCCACTGCTCCGAGGAAGACAGTTCACAACCCGAGGGTTCAGGTCGGGCACGCAACCAAGTAGCTCACACACTCTACTGAGCTGCTTGTTTCTCTAAAAGGTTGTGAAACCAGTGCTGTAGGGGCCAATGAAGATATAAACCTCAAAGGTATTTTAAGAAGAAGGGATATAGCCTTCCTCAAATCCTGGCAGCTAAAGTTATGAATATTCTCATCATTTCCTCTTCCCTGTCCTGGAGCAAATGTTTCTGGAGAAATGATGAAAAGGAGAGAAAGCATTGGGGAAAAATTATTTCCCCTTGTTTTTCCACTGACCAGACCTATTATGTGGGACTTAGAATGTAACTTTAATTTTAGGGTGACAAAGATTGGATTTTACAATATTCCTTCAACACTTTGACAAATCTTGGTCTGAATGTTTTATCTTTACATGAAAGAGCTTTAAAAATCAAGTTGAATATAAGGTAATATTGTCTTTGAAGTAAGATGCTGTCCTTTTTTTCCCCTGAAGATTTTATTTATTTAGTTTTAAAGAGAGGAGAAGGGAGGGAGAAAGAGAGGGAGCGAAACGTCAATGTGCGAGAGATACATTGAGATACATCGATTGGTTGCCTCTCGCTCCCTCCCAACCAGGGACCTGGCTCTCATCCCAGGCGTGTGCCCTGACCAGATATCAAACCAGCTACCTTTTGGTTCTCAGGCCGACAGTCAATCCACCGAGCCACACCAGGCAGGGCAAGAAGCTGTCCTTTTATTTTTGTGGGGGTTGGGTTCTATTTTCTTACATATGTATCTGTCATTCCAGCTGAAGCTGTGTCAGGATAAGAGTGGGTGGATTTCAAGAATTAATACAATTCGGAAGTCTGACTTTTGGGAATTGGCTTTGAGTAGTTAGAAGCATTTGGGGGCTCAGCTTTTGAAGTCAGATAATCCAGCTGTTCCACTTTATCGCTTACAAGCTCTGCACGTTGAAGCTGGTTACTCCTCTCTCTGCTCCCCAGTCAGGTATGAAATGGGGATAATAATAGAATCTACTTGATTGGCTTAGAGTATTAAAGGCATTAATGTTCGCAAAGTCCTTAGTGCAGTCTACCACAAGGTAGTTAATAGATGCTGATGCTGACTCTTGCCAGAATATGCTAGCTGTATATGCCTCTC